ACTTACAGGAGCGCATGGTGAAAAAGACCCTGACACACTGATCCTTTAAATGGAGATACAGTGGGGCCCAAAAGACCACACTGAAAATCTGGGATTCAGAATCTGTCTTTAAACCTCGAGATTTTGAAAAGTTACATTTTCTTTGTCACTAAACATAAAATTAACATTAGTTATGTTAACTTGAGTGTGTGTGTGTGTGAGACGGACACAGATTTAGTCACTTTCACTTTTCTTGTGTTAAGTGTAAAACAGAGGAGGTGATGTTAATGAAAGATAGCTGAAATTAGAGAAGTAGTGAGAAGGTAACTTGAGGCCACCAGCAGAGAGATATTTATACTCGAACTGGACAAACGTGCTGCTGAAAGCAGTGATGGATGAGATTGGGGCCACTGCGGTGAAACAACACGACAGCACAAAAGCTGTCCCGCTGTAGAGAAGACACTAAAGCCACTTGAGTGTTGAAAGCAAGACAGCGGGTAGGACATGAGGGTGACTGAGGGTCTGCTTACCTCCTGTAACTTTCCCTGGAAAAACTTTGAAGCTACTTATTAACCACAAGGATGAATTTGATGTCAACTTTAACTTTAAATTACTTTATTTTGAAATAGATCACTTTGGATTAAAGTCTCACCTAATGTAAATTACTACAAAAGATGTTGGGAAAGGCAACTGGAATAAGGCCAAGGCTTCTGGGGGTCTCATTTTACCAGGATCACATTACAGGATCAATCGACAGCAGGGAGAAATACTCAAGACAGTAGCGGTGGGGCAGATCCAGGGCTGACGTTGTGTGTGGGTTGTGTCTGTGTTTTTGTGTGGTTGGTCAATACAGAGAAGAATAGACAGCATGATGTATCAGGGCTGTGCTGATGTGATCGATTACCTCTCATTGCCAAAAATCTATTTCCCTCCCCAGTGATGGAGAGGGTGCTGAGTTGGACCTAATGGAGGGTGATTTGTCGGGTCAGTAGCCAATAATCACAGGTGTGAAGCGTTCTTTTAAATGGGGCTTTGGGGATGTGGCTTTTGGGTCAGTTCAGTTTTTAAATCTAATCAGGTCCAACTTTGCAGTGAAGAAAAAAAGACTTTTGTTGGTATTCCAAAATAGAAATGTCCTTAATCCTTTCAAAGGTACATAACGTTCTGCTGACACAAATGGTACAAATCGATGACAAAAAAGCGCATAGTTGGTGTCCGTGACTGATTGGACCTCACTGCCTCCAACAGCTTTATCTGGTATATTGACAACATTTGAAGATTTAATGGGATGGTTCATCCAATATGAAAAATCTGCCAACACTCTCATATCATTTCCAACCTGCATAATTTTAATTCTTCCACTGAACACAAGAAAGTCCAAACCGCTCTTTTCCATTCTGAAAAAGTGACGGGCTATCAAGAAGTCATTTGCTGAATATCTTTCTTCGTTCATTGTTAAATTGCTTAAAATAATAAAATAGTCTTTAAAACTAGATCAATTTACTCTGCAACACTGCATAAAATGTTATTGGCATAGATTCTATCTTGAATTTAAGTATTTTGTTTTACTGCACTGGCAGTTTTTTCACTTGTTTTTAACTTAGTTTTAAAGGGTTAGTTTACCCTAAAATGATTTTATTTATTTATCATTTACTCACCCTCATGCCGTCAAATCCCGTAAGACTTTCGTTCATCTTTGAAACACAAAAGAAGATGTTTTAATGAAATCTGTGAGATTTCTGTCCCTCCATTGACAGCTATGCAACTACCACTTTGATATTTCAAAAAGTTCATAAAGAGATCGTAAAACGAATCCATATGAATCGAGTGGTTTAGTCCAAGAGACTTGATTGCTTTATATGAGGAACAGATTGAATTTAGGCTTTTATTCACATAAACATTGATCAGCAAAACAGAAGCTCACAAACAGAAGCTCAAGTGTACTTGCTTGATCCGCGAGAACAAAGCTCATTGCTCAAACATGCTGCGTAACACGAGAATTAACCTCATTGGTTCTTGCAGAAGCTCAAACGTGCCGCGTAACACAAGAGAATGAACCTCATTGGTTCTCACACATCAAGCAAGCATGCATAAGCTTCCGTTTACCACAACGGATGTGTGCCTTGATGAATGTTTATATGTGAATAAAAGCCAAAATTTAATCATATAAAGTGATTGTATATCTTCAGAAAATTTGGACTAAACCGCTCAATTCATATGGATTAGTTTTACGATCTCTTTATTAACTTTTTGAAGCGTCAAAGTGGTAGTTGCGTGGACTGTCAATGGAGGGACAGAAAGCTCAGATTTCATTCAAATATCTTTTTTGCAGTATTGTAGCTTTCAATCTCATTCGCACTTGACACCTCAAGATATCAAGCTATGAGTGTGAATAATGAATCAAATTTTGATGTATTCTTGGAATATAGCATGGACTACTATAATGGTGCATTTTTAACATCCCCATTTCCTGTTATTGTATAGAAAACAGCAGCTTGCACACAAAATCTCCTTTTGTGTTAATTGCATAGAAAAAGTAAATGACTTGGAATTGTATGAAAGTACGTAAATAATGACAGTGGCCAAGATGGATCAAACACATTGTATAACTTTTTTTCACAGTATTAGTGTTACACGCCACACAAACGCTTTGACATGTTCAAGAGAACTTTTTTATTATAAACAGAAGGCATCAAAAACAAAGCAATGTCTGTCCCTCATTTCCAAAATGATTTACAAGTCATCAATCATTTGTATAACTCTAATATGTACAAAATAATTTTTCAAACTCCTGAGAACTAAATATATAAAAAAAAAAATAACATGAGAAGATAAAAAGCACGTTAACTAAGCATGAGCATCCTCTGCTTAATGCTCTGGCCTCATATAAAAATATGTTTATTCCATAGACAAATATTTCCTGCCAGAATATGTACAAAAAAAAAATATTATATACCACAACTGGCCTCTGCAACACTGTCAAGTGCTACTGTTGTAAATTTCCAGTGAGTTTGCACCAAGAGTCATCTTGTTAAAGAAAGGCAAAAAAATTCAGAAAATACAGTAATAGTGGGAAACACAAATAACACTTCGGGAATACAGAAGACAAAAGCGTGTCATTGAATGGTGAAAAAATAAATATCTGATGCTTTTATCTGATGCGTCCAAAGGCACTATGCTTGTAAATATATTAGGAGAAAGCTAGAAATTTAACCTTATAACCAAACCGCCAACTTTCACTCAGTTTTGCCATTTCTATAACTTCATGAAATTGTTACATTAAACACGCATGCAAGAGTCAAGGATTTTTACAAAAAAGTTTTTTTGTGAAATGAGAAAAAAAAGGCAATTAAAATAACGAAAATACTAGACTCAAGATTCTTTTTAAGAAGTGTCAAGACTATATATTTGATAATTAGTGATACAAATAACTGCCCCATTAATTTAAAGATGAGAAGCAGCCCAATTTGTTGAACAAAAAAAGATTTTTGTCCTAAACTCAAAACAGACTGTACCACAGCTGTAGCAACACTGCAGCTGATTTATGAACAATGAATTCAGGCGTTAGCAACTGTCATATCTTTTTCAAAAGGCATGCAACGTGTGACCATTGAGACTTAAGGAGAAAAACAACCTTGCGTGCTTGCGAACAGATGCTCAGCACAACTCTAAGATGGAATGAAACGAGGTCTGTTTGCAAGAGAGCAGAAAATATTAATTACAAAGTTCGATCTTTGAGGTAAAGCATGCTAGAGGAAGCCCATGCCGCGGCACATGTCTGCTGTGCGCCAGACGGTTTATTCTGGGAAATCAGAAGCTCTCGACACCGAGATGGGAGTGTATGAGTAGCAAGGGTGGAGAGATGGAGAGAAAAAAAGAAATCAGCATAAAATTAAAAGGAGTGAACTAAATTGGCAAAGGCCACAAGGCTTCGGTAAAAACCTCAGGGGCAGACCGTGGTCCTTTTGATCTGTCGTGGCGAACGTCAACCCCCCATCAGCCTGTGACAGGTCCTCAGCACAACCACATGAAGCAGACTCCTTCCTTTGCTCTCTAACATATCCATTAATGAAAAAGACACTGCCGTAAGAGGGGTGTGTGATGAAATATGTCAAAATATAGACAAGCTGGGCTAAAATCAAACTGCATGTGTTGAGTTGAGAGAAACATGCTGTATGTTTATGCATATACAGCCAAAAAGTTTGCTAATCAGTATTTTTGTCATTTTTTCAGTAAAAATATTTACAGATCTTAATACATTAAATTTAGCTAAGTAAAATTTGCATGATAAATCTGGAATAAAGTTTATTTTTCTTTTTTAAACATGAACCTAAAAAATGGTTTATGATTAAAACAAGAATAATAATCATAACTTTCTTCCATGTAACAATAAAAGTAAATGTTTGAAGATTCTTTGTCATATTACGAAATTTTGTTTCTCAAAAAATGTCTTATTTTAAGTATAGTTATATCATTTATTATAATATAATTTGAATATATTGAATACATTTAGCTGAGAAGCAAAATTCGAATAATAGGTATTGAATTTATTCATTGGCATTTTTTTTCTTGTTTTAACTTTCTTCCATGGAACACCAAAAGTACATTTTGGAATATTCTTTACAATAAGACGCATTTTCTTGAAAAGCAAAAATATCATAAACAGAATAAAGATATTTATATTTATTACAATATTAATAATATTAATATATTAAATATATGAATATTTAGCTGAGAAGTAAAATTTGCACAATACATCTTGAATGATGTTCATTTTTCTTATGCCACTGGCTTTTTATTCTTGTTTTAAACAAAAACCTACCAAAATTTTATTCATGCTCAAATCAATATTGATAACAACGACAAAAACAATAAAACTCTTCTTCTATGGAACACCAAATGTAATATGTAAATATTCTTTGTGCAATATTTTTGCTTCTCAAGAAAATGTATCTTATTTTTATGACATTTTTCCTAAAAAAACTAGACCAAAATACTGATTAAAAAATTAAATAAAATTCCCTGCAGTCAAAACATGACTCAAGACGTTGAAAGTCAGTTTCTGTGACTCTTCATGTGAAACTAAAGTGATGTTTTGCTCCTACATTGGAGAAGTCATTTACATATATATTTAATAATAAAAAAAGAAAGGAAAGAACTAAGAATACGCTGCACCTGGTTTTAAAGCTAACAGTTATGTGCAATGTGGTAACGGGAATGGTTACGCACACAGTGTAGCTTAATTTTAGCAGACTTGTTTTCTTTGTGTAAATCCACCCTGTGATCATAAACCATGTAAACCTCTCCCTTTACATCCGGAAGTCACAGCAGTCCACCGAACGAAAACCATTCAGAACATATCTGCAGTAAATCTGCCGTTTGCTACGCGTAAAACGTGAGGATGAAATCGTAAACCGAGTTTGGAGAAGACATAAAATACATTTTAAATGTACACTTTATCTCACTCTGCTGAGTTAAATAACACTTCCTCCGCTGACTTTTAAATTATTGTTGTCCAGTAAAAGTTCCCCTGCCTTTTCAAACATACCATTCCCTGCGTGAAATCACAGATCCATCCACGTGAGACACGTAGTCGCTGTCTGTGCCATTGTCGTAGCACTCGTCCTGCAGGTAAGGGGAGCCGTTGTGTAGAGGCGGCCCGCTGGGGTTCACGTTATGATGGTTGTGGTGGTCGGAGTAATACGTGTCCTCTCTCTTAAGGCTGAGATTGTCACTCCAGGCCTCCATGTCTTTGTGGTCATTGGGATAATCGGGATAGATAATGTCTCCTTCTGGTTTGGGCTTCAAGTCCTGGCTGCCGTTGCCCGAGTCGTCTCCGTACACGTCGTGAAGCTCATGGGGTTGAAGTACATCCAGTTGAGACTCTTTTTGCATGTCTGATGGGCCGATGTACTGCTTGGTGTAGTAGTCTCCTCTGAATGTTCGGCGTTGACGCATGTAGAATGCTCCCGCCAGTGCCATCAGCAACACCAGAATGAGGATCCCACCGACAGCACCGCCCACAATAGTGCCCAGACTGCTGTCCGGCGGAGAGGCCTGAGTTGGGGAGGTGAAGTGGGCACGCTGATTGATAGAAGCTGTGATGGTTAAGCTGGTGGCAGGCAGGATGGACTTGGTGGTGGTGGTGGGGGCTGCAGTGGTCGGTGGCGGCTCTGAGAGGGCGAAATATGGACGAACGTTAAAATACAGACAAAGAAATAGATCATTAGAGGCAAGTTTTTGAAGAAAATTCAGGCCAGTACTGATAGGCCGCTATTAAATATATACTATTAAAACTAAATCAATTTAGCTGAGAAGTAAAATTACTTTAAAACTTCTTGAATTAAAAATAATCATTTTCTTATAAATTACCCTTTGCGTAACCACTCCGCATGCTTTTGACCCTTACTGTTTTTGTCCTCTCTCTCGTCCCTGTCTGATTAAAAAGGAAATAAATAGTATTTGGTTTTCTTGACAGCTGGCAGTGATTGTTTAAAAAAGGTGCAATTTTTTTTTACATTTTTATTGAAATTTTTTATATTTACAGTTTTTGCTGTATTTTATCTATATTGCTACCACACTGTACATGCATACTACATTAATATTATTAGGGCCCAAGCCCAAAGGGCGAAGGCCCTATTGTTTTCCTTAGGATTATTTATTATTATTAGGGCCCAAGCCCAAAGGGCGAAGGCCCTATTGTTTTCCTTAGGATTATTTATTATTATTATTATTATTATTATTATTAGGGCCCAAGCCCAAAGGGCGAAGGCCCTATTGTTTTCCTTAGGATTATTTATTATTATTATTATTATTATTATTATTATTTTTCTGCTACCTTTTGGACACTTTTGGAGGCCTTAACATGCTCAAAAACTCCTGAAACTTTGCACACATGTCAGAACCCGCGGCCATCAGGGCCGGGCTGAAGATGGTACCCGGGCGTGGCAGGGGGGGGCTCGACAGCGCCCCCTGGAACGGGGTCCGAAAACATGGTCCATAAATCAAACACGCTTGCATGTAATAATTTGAAACTTGGTACACATGTAGATCTCCTCGTTTCATATATACTTCACACTCTTACTTTTTACCCCAGCCCAACAGGAAGTCGGCTATTTAGGGTTGTTGGTAAAACACACGCAATGGAATGTGAAATACTCCTCCTAGAGAATTCAAACAAACGGCACGAAACTCGGTCAGCATGAAGTCAAGACATTGAGGATGAAAGTTTGCGAGGGGATTTTTGATATCTCGAACGGTTTGGCCGTGGCGAGGAAACAAAATTATGGCGAGAAACGTGAAACAGGAAGTGTGTCATAACTACTGCATACATTAACTGATCTTGATGAAACTTCAACAGTGTGTTCGTTGTAAGAGCCCGATCACATGGATGTGACTATTGTGAGTCAAAGTTATAGCGCCACCAACTGGCAGCAGGAAGTGTGTCACTTCCTAAATGCTTTGAAATCACCCTCTTATTTTTACCCGATTTGCTTCAAACTTTATGTGTATAATGTAAACACACGGCAGATGTAGACCTGTGAAAGGATTATTGATATCTTAGATACTGTTGCCGTGGCAACACATCAAACTTTAATATTCTTGTTTGATGCTTTTGAGACTCTTAGCATGCTTGAAATTGCATGAAACTCGACAGACTCAGGTATGCATATGGTTCAGATCAAGCCGGACAACTTTCTAATTAACTGTCATTAGCTCAGACCAAGAGGAAGTTAGATATTTTGGTTTGAATGTGGATGTTTCTGAGAATTGTCTCTCCCTCTCCCTCTGACAGAGAGAATGCACCCTGCCATTCGTGTGTGTCTGTGTCTGTGTGGGGAGGGGGGGAGGGGCTCTTTTAGTTTAAACACAAAATTATACATAGGGCCATACTGCCCTCTTGTGTCCAAAATTATATTTATATATACATTATACATATATTTGGTATGTGACTGAGGACCGAGAGCTTTTAAATACGGGACATTGATAATGGCCACGTGCAGAGCGCTCGAGGGAATTCCTATGGAAGTAGGAATGAACTAAAAAACGTTCGCTCTGTTCTGCTCGCTCGTCGCCATGGACGCGCACCATTATGAATGCCAGTGCAGCCGCATACTTTTTAGTGTCACTTTAAAATTAGTGCAATAACGGGGCCGATAGCTTGAATTGTGAGTTCAATAGTCTATTTTTTTTTTACGGAAAACACAACAACAAAAGAGTACAATGATAGATTCGCTTAAATAGGGGCTTTTACATAAAATAGCCTATTCCGTCATCATCTTTTCAGTCAGCTCTTCACTCTCGTGATTAATGAAATTTGACTCCTGTTGCTGATATTTGCTGCAACTTTCGTTCCGCTCACAATTTAGTAAGCAAACACGCTTCAAATGTGTTTTTATTTTATTTTTGTGTATATATATGTGTGTGTATATATATGTGTATATATATATATATATATATATATATATATATATATATATATATATATATATAGCTTATGTTTCAAATATGAGTTAATTAACAATCGTTGGAAAGAATGATACTTTTAATATCACTAAACCGTCATTAGGTGTCGCCAGGCGACCGTCTTAATGAGCGAGTCATTGATTCATTCGTTCAAACGATTCGTTCGAACGGCTGAGTCATTCATGAATGAGACAGATTATGGATTGGTCGTTGAATCTTTGAGTCAACCGATTCGTTCAAAATGCTGAATCATTCAGTAATGAGAACGCGTTGCTGTGAGATGCTCGATGGTTCTGCTGTGATCTTTGTTTAACTATTTTCGCTGCTGAAACAGAAAAAAAAGTCAATATTGCATCTAAAATGTAAGTGATTTGACGTGTGTGTGTGTGTGTGTGTGTGTGTGATTGTGTCTGTTACAGTGATTGTTTAACCCTTGTTAAAGTTTAGGCCTTGTCTTTTTGGATATATATCTTTTTATATAAAAAAAAATAGCATACAACCCATGTATTTTAAATGTATTGTTTGCTTTAAATTACATTGAGATTTGTATGTTTGGTAATTGAACCTGAATGAATTATAAATGAATGTGCTATATTTCAGATCATATATTTGTTTTCCTTAAAATTTGAACTAACACTAACTTTATTCTCATCTGAATGATAGATTATTTATTTCTGTATAAAATAAAAACACATTTGATTTTTCTTTTTTAATCAATGTAGAATGTGTAACTGAAAAACTAAACAGATTAGGGCTCTGATCGAGGACAATAATGTCAAAAAAAGAATCAGGGCATGTCTCATATCTTTCTAAAATGTAATTATACACCATTTATTTTTATATAAAATTATACAAATATTAGAACTAAACCCATTTTATTTCTTTTTTTCAATTTAAGAATTATTTTTAAGTTTAAAAACAGCCAGAATGGTTGTTTAGTCAAAAATAATAATAATCCAAATCATATATAGTGCTATACTGCCCTCTTGTGTTCAAAATCAGGTAGGCCTATTGAATTTATATATTTATATATTAGGGATGTTACTATGGGAATATTTTCCCACCGGTTAATCAACGTGTGATTGTGTAAACCAATTGTGTAAACCTCCCGCTGGGGGGTTTAAAAACACTAACTTGAAAGCAAAAGTATAATATGGACGTCCGCACGGACATTGAAATGGTGGCGCTCGAATGAATTCCTATGGAAGTAGAAATTAACTAAACGTTCGCTCTGTTCTGCTCGCTCGTCGCCATGGACGCGCACCGTTATGAATGCCAGTGCAGCCGCATACTTTTTAGTGTCACTAAAATTAGTGCAATTTCGGGGGCCGATTGCTTGAATTGTGAGTTCAATAGTCTATTATTTTTCACGGAAAACACAACAATAAAAGAGTACAATGACAGATTCGCTTAAATAGGCGTTTTTACATAAAATAGCCTATTCCGTCATCATCTTTTCAGTCAGCTCTTCACTCTCGTGATTAATGAAATTTGACTCCTGTTGCTGATATTTGCTGCAACTTTCGTTCAGCTCACAATTTAGTAAGCAAACACGTTTCAAATGTGTTTTTATTTTATTTGTGTGTATGTGTGTGTATATGTATGTATATATATAAATATAGCTTATGTTTCAAATATGAGTTAATTAACAATCGTTGGAAAGAATGATACTTTTAAACATAACACTAAACCGTCATTAGGTGTCGCCAGGCGACCGTCTTAATGAGCGAGTCATTGATTCATTCGTTTGAACGACTGAGTCATTCATGAATGAGATAGATGTTTATGGATTGATTGGTCATTGAATCTTTGAGTCAACCGATTCGTTCAAAATGCTGAATCATTCAGTAATGAGAACGCGTTGCTGTGAGATGCGCGATGGTTCTGCTGTGATCTTTGTTTAACTATTTTCGCTGCTGAAACAGAAAAAAAGTCAATATTGCATGTAAAATGTAAGTGATTTGACTTGTGTGTGTGTGTGTGTGATTGTGTGTGTGATTGTGTCTGTTACAGTGATAAGAGTTTAACCCTTGTTAAACTTTAGGCCTTGTCTTTTTGGATATATATCTTTTTATATTAAAAAATAGTCATACAACCCATATATTTTAAATGTATTGTTTGCTTTAAATTACATTAAGATTGTATGTTTGGTAATTGAACCTGAATGAATTTTAAATGAATGTGCTATATTTCAGATCATATATTTGTTTTCCTTAAAATTTGAACTAACACTAACTTTATTCTCATCTGAATGATAGATTATTTATTTCTGTATAAAATAAAAACACATTTGATTTTTCTTTTTTAATCAATGTAGAATGTGTAACTGAAAAAATAAACAGATTAGGGCTCTGTTTGATGACAAGAAATGAAAACCAATGCGATATGATGAATGTCCAAAAGATGGCTCCCACAGACTGTTTTTAAATAGGATTGTTTGATATTTTTTGCTTTTAAACTGTGTGTGTGTGTGTAAGAGATTTTGGTTGGGTGACAGTTGTAGTTTACAGTTTGACAAGAGTTTATAGCTTGACAAAAGCACAATGTTGTGTTTTATTGCAAGTGTACACAAATATAAGTAAACACTTTGCAGTTTGAATAATGTCCTGTATGAACAAAAGGACGGAGTATGTTTTTATGTCTACATTGTTCAATTACGCCACACACACACACACACACACAAACACACACACACACACACACACAC